GGGCCGTATTCTTCAGAATAAGGCGCCATCGCATTACGCGATCGGTATTGAAGTTCTTACATGTAAAAATTCTTGTGGTCCGATATGTACAACGATCTTCTGTCCTAGAAGAATGTTACGGAACTCTTTTAGAGTTTCTACGATACTGAGAAGTTCCTTCTCGTAACTGTGTAACGTGTCTGGCAGGGTTGAGCTTCCTACTGTGAACGCGATAGGTTTTCCCTTCTGGGAAATTACTGCACTAGTTGAGTATCACTCGCGTCCGTGTGGATAACGAATGTTCGTTGAAGTCAGGGTAGCGAGCAAGGTTTCTTTGCTGATGATCTTCTCATCTGGCTAAAGGCCTTGTCGTGTTCCGCTTCCCATTTCCACTTCGTTGTTTTGGAAGTCAACGAAGCGAGTGGGCCAGTACATTGTATCGTCTAATCCACATGTCTCGATAGTAGTTCACAGTCCAATGAATCTACGGAGTTTTTTTCTGTTGGTAGGAGGAGCGATATTCTGGATCGCGTCTATTTTCTTGGTTATGGGTTGGATCCCTTCTCGGTATCCAGTAACCTAGGTATTTCAAGTTCTCCTCTTGCGAAGAAGGACTTGGTAGCATTGATTCTTAGTCCGGTTCTCGAAGCCTTCGGAGAACTTCTCCACTTTTCAACGTGATCTGCTAGATCGCCGTTAGTTAGGATGAGTAGATCATCAATGTATGCACGGACGTATTCTAGGTCGTGCATTAGTGTTCCCATCTTCTCTTGGAAGATGTCGGGATATTACATAGCCCATTGGCAACCTCTGGACTCGTACTTTCCCCACGGAGTACGATGGTACAGAGTTGCTTCGAGTGAGGTGACAGCTCGATGTGATAGTATCCATGTTCAGGTCTAGCTAGTAGCGTACTTGAATCCATCTAGATTCAAGAGCATGTCCTGTATTTTTGGATAGGATAAGGCTTCGCTTAATCCTTTTGTTCAGTTCCCGGAAATCAGAGATGAATCGTACAGATCCTCTTTTCTTGGGAATGATGAAAGTTGGTCCGCCCATTTGGAACGGTTACTTTCTTGAGTACTCCTGCTTCGCAGAGACGTTCAACTCCATTTTAAGAGTGTTGGTATGGACCCTGGAATAGGATAAGCCCTGGCATGATAGGTTTAGCATCAGGGAGAAGTTCACTTCGTAGTCGTCCATCTGCCACTTTCCTAAAGTACCATCGAATAGGTCAGAGTACTTCGTCAGTAAAGAATGAAGCTGTTCTTTTTCTTCCGTGTTTAACTGATCTTGACTTTGGCAAACCTGCCTTAAGTCAGCTTGTTCGTATTTCGCATCAAGAATCTTCTTGAGGCGATCTGCACTGTCATCAACAGCAGTAGGATCAGGAATGAAGAAGTTCTCTTCTTCATTGGTGTCGCTATCTTTCATAGGAATAGATGCGCCGTCCATTCCACTGACATGGTAGTGAAATCGAACTTGAATCCTAAGTCAGAGAGATGTCTCGACCTATGATCATGTCATACGCCCCCAAGCTCTTGGTGACGTGTAAATCCCACTCGATAATTCTATCTTCGTGGAATTCAGGAATCATAAATGCACCTTTGCACTTCGTGCTGGTGTTAATTCTCCTGCAGGGGTAGTCCACATCGTTTGGACGCCCCCAAGATCCTTCATGCGTAATTTCTTAGCATGAGGTTGAGCAATCAAGGTTCGGATGCTCCTGTATCCAGTAAGCAACGGATGTAACGGGTTTTGGTTTCCTTTTTTCTCGCTTGTTAAATCTAACATAGACGATGGTTTGAGGTCTCTTGTCTTGCGACGTTTACGAGGTGGTTGGCCACGGACGAGGTTACGATGCTAAATAGATCATCAGAGTCTAGTTGAGCAGCTTTCAGGCAATCATCTAATTTGCCGTAGAGTTCATCAGTTGCAACAATTCTTGTTTACTAGTTAGTGAGATATCTTCATCACTTTGGTATGAGAAATCGGACATGGTTCCGTTGAGTCATCATCCTGGCCTAATCCTCAGATAGAGATTTCTCCATCCAAGTGATTAAAATTGATAGAGGAGTTGTCCTTATTGTCAGAGTCTTCTGATTTGCGCTTGGCAACATGGTTGCGAAGTTTGCAAGTGGTTGCACGAGTATCGTCGATCTCGTTTTCTTCGTCATTGTCGACGAGAGGAAGAATGGGTTGTCACGCAACTGTTTCTCGAGTTGCTGAACGCATGCTTTCCTTGAGCCATCTTCATGTGAAGGAATAGGTTGAGGGTAGCTGAAAGCTATTGTGTTTGTTAACAAAATGCACTACGCTAAAAGTAGTGTAAAGATCTTTCGAGTGTTTTGAGTTTGAGAGAAATGAAAGTTATGAGAGAGATTAGAGAAGCTATGAAAACTAATCAACGAGAGAGTCATCATCAAGGGATCGTAGATCTGCTTCCCGCGGGAGACTATAAAGTGTGATTAGAGTAGGTTGCGGTAGTAATCCTACGTCTCTCCACGATCCTAAAACGGAACGCGTAGAAGGTTTGTCTAGCCTGGATCTAGTAGCGTGGAAGTACTCCACGCTGGCTAAATATCTAGAGCGATGTTTCATCATCAACCTAGTATGACTAGCGCGGTCATTGAGAACCCTGTCTCAAATGACTATTTCACGAGAGACTCAGTCATGAGTCGAACTCAAACCCTATCTAGGATCGAGTCGCGAATAAGGCTAAGAGCCGTGTATTGCACAGTGCCTTCAACCAAGTCACAGATCCATCGCGGAAGGGCAAAAATCCAACAGCCATTGCCTTCCTGAAATTCTTTGTTGATCTTAACACCGTGTTCTTACAGGATGCGGCAGCCATGATGGTTCTCTATCCAGACCGAGAGGAGCATCCTCTATTTACAGAGCTGAATTATGTCTTTAAGACTGACCTATTTGCGGTAAGCAAGTGTGTTCTTTTGTATCTGTCGGAGCGACATTCCTCTCACTACTAGCCATTTTTTGCTACTGTGTTAGGAATTCAAAGAGAAGATGCGTGTGACTTTGGAGTCAGCAAAGAACCCAAAGGAAGAGACTATCAAAAAGATTGTACCTACCCTCACGTCCTGGCAAACAGCCAACAACCAGGCTCTATGTCTTCAGGATTCAAAGATTGACAATGTGTCCACTATTGTCGCCAATGGCATTGCGAAGCTGGCTGAGTACACAGAGCATGCAGAAGACAGACAGCTGAAGCGCGACAAGCAACTAGGGGCATTGCTGGTGAAGATTGGAAACTAAATTGGAGCAGCCGGTAAGTCCATCAGTGCAGATGCCGAAGAAGAAGAAGAAGAAACTGAAGAACAACAAACTAGTGGGCTGGAGCTACTCGCCGACACAATGGAATTAGATGACTTGTCTATGCAGGAAACAGCTGGTGTTAGTTTGGAAACCGGTGGGGTCTCGCTTCAAGTTGGTGTTATGGAAACAGAAGAAGAACCAACAGCAACAACAATCTCTGTGGGTACTCCTCCGCGAGTAGTACCAGCAGGTGTACCAAACGACCAGTTCAGGCTGAAGCCTCAACACGACAACTTGACCGAATTGATGGACGAGTGGACTGGCCGACTGGAAGGCAACTCTCCAGATCCGCTTGGTGGAGTGGAAGGGAGAAACAAAAAGTTTGGATCGAAGTGGAGAAAACACCTTGCCTCAAAGGTGTACTCGAGGAGAAAGCAAGCCATGGAAGGAATCCGTGCGTACGCAGAGAGAGCGAACCTGGACGATTACGACGCATGCACCATCCTCGACTACAACTACAAAGGAGACTGCAAGTGCTCTATTGCAAACTTTGTTGATTACTTGAAGAAACAGGGACTACTGAATACAATGAAGTCACGCGGAAGAACAAAAAAATGAGCTATTTTATGCTACGATTTGTTGGGCTTCCAAGCTCCTTGTTCTTTGACCTGTTGGGCTGTCATGGGCTGTGGCTCAGCGATGGAAGCCCCCAGCATTCTAGCTTTATTTAAACCACTACCACTAGCAGAACTAACAGTAGAAGCACTATTGCTTTCAAAGAAAGCTGTCTTATCATGTTGTAGCTGTCGCGTCTCCATTGTCGAGTTGTGTATGTACTCCAGTAGTTGTTGCCAGTGCATGGAGTTGTTGCCGATTTCCGAGATAGTGGTGCGCACCTGTGTTACAGTCGTACCTTGAAGTTTGGAAATCGAAAAGTGAGGAATTCTCACTGACGCACTGACGTCAGTCTTGGTTCGCGTTTGGAACAGCGAAGAATTCTTACTGTCGAGTACCAGTTGCCAAAGGAGGTGCGAAGTTCCGGAATAGGTGCGGAAGATGGGTAGGTGACCTCAGTTTGAATCCTGCTCAGCAGTATCTCGATTGGCCTCTCCAGAGTCTGAGGGTACTGAAATCGACACTGTAAAATCAGAATCTGGCCAAGTCAAACGAGATACTCTGAGTCAAAATCCAACTTTGACTCACTCGATGGATGCACTGCATTTTTCCTTGACTGAACGAACTGTCGAAGGACAGACAGTTATTTTACCAACTAAATAAAACCTCGTTTCCAGTTATCGTACTTGCAGCTGGTTGGATGGCTTCAGCTTGGGTGATAAGGGGTGGAAATGGACTGGTGTGGAGAAAGCTTGGCTGGCTTAGGCTTGGCTGGCTTCAAGAAATCCACCAGCAGTAATGGTCAAGTGGCAATTGGAATAAGGGAAGGGGTGAAGGGGTCATGGACAAACGAGCAGAGATAAGAGAGGGGCTCAGGGTGCTATGTACCCCTTCCCCTCTCTCCAAGTTTACAAGCAGGTTTCTGCCCAGATTTCCCTTTCGGGTTAGAAAAGGTTCACTGTCATCTTCTTTGGCTTCAAGTGAAGAATTAGTATCTTGCTTTCCCTTGCTCTCGACTATTATTGAAAGTTATAAATCTATTTTGAGATACTGGATACTGGTACTAGTATGACTTCTTGCAAAAGTGTACATCATCCATCATTGCCGCGCTGCATCCTCCTGCACAAAAGTTACGTACTTCCCCTCTCCATCGACTTTCGTACTAGCGAGCAGACTGCGTCGTCTGCATTCTGTATGCAACAGGGTTGCTCATTTATTTATTTCCTTGCCGTTGTCAAGATTGGGGTCTTGCCGCTGATTGTAGCTATCGTTGTTGCTTTGCCTGATCGACAAAGGTTCACAGACTTTCTGTTTTAGAAGCTGAGCTGTGGCAATATATCTTATCTGATTGCTTCTCCCTGATACCATACCCCATTAGGCAACTTGTTCTGCCCTTGAAGCCTCCTTCTTGCCATTGAGCTATACCCTCCCTTTCCTTCCTTCTATTATCCCCCTTCTTTGAGCAACAATCGATCATGAACGACTCTGCGATGGACGACTGGAACCTGGAGACGAGCTCTGTAGTCTCGAGTTGTAGTACTTTGAATGGCGATCTCAAGCATCCTCAGTTCGACAGACCAAGTGGGCGCAATCGAAGGGTACGTGTTGCTCTGTGCTACCTTACTGAGGGATCAAAGATTCTTCTACCCTGTTGCAAGATCTCATCCTTCCTCTCTTCTCTGCTCTCCTTCCTCTCTTATTGACAGATTGTCTTGGTATCCCTGTTCTTGGCTGCCTTGGTATTTGGCTTGGCCACTTACTTTGTCATGCTGGCTTCGCAACACGCCGAATTCGAATCCAGTTTTGAAAGTTTTGCCCGGGAAACTGCGGATATTGCCGAAAACAATGCCGAGAACTCGTTGGGCCATTTGCGAAACTTGGCCACGGCCATTACCTCGCAAGTGGTGGATAACGAACAAGCAACATTTCCGTTTGTCACCATTCCCCACTTTGATTTGCGGACCCAAGAGATTGCCGACTTGACCGGTATTGAAATGATCCTCTTTGTACCCTTTGTCACACAACAGGATGCTAAGACTTCTTCCCAAGAACAACAAGCCCATGATGATTGGGAAACGTACACGATGGAACACCAGGATTGGATCCTGCAAGATTACAATTATCGAGGTTGGGATCCTTCGACGTTGACACCCATTCCACGCCACATTTACAACTACACCCTGCCACCCAACTTTAACGAGACACGACCGGGATTTGTCGATGAAGGCGCGTTTATGGAAGAAATCCTCTCCAACATGTCCTACCACCCATCCTTCTTCCAGGCACCCGTGGCACAGTATGGACCCCGTCTCGTCGATACGAGTTTGGCCAAACTCGATCTCTTGACGCATCCCATTTTCAAAAAGGAAATGGTCGCCTCGTTGGAATACAATGTCCCCGTTATTTCCGAAACGGAAGATCTAGAATTTCTCCTCCAGCATATTCAACCGACGAATGGTTCGACTACCACAGAATTGCGCAGTTTTACACTGGAAACCGTCAAGGAAGACTTTCGGAACAACTCGCGAACGGTGGGATTCTTGGTGTCGGTCGTTCCGTGGAAAATCTTTTTTCGCAATTTGCTGCCGACCAATATTAATGGCATTGTCGTCAAGGTCGTGTCCGATTGCGGGGCCAACTTTACATATGTCTGCAATGGAGGTCGGGACGATTGGGCGGCCAATGGCGATCACTACAATAATGACGACGACGACAATCATCAGTACTACAAAGACATGAAACAGCACTTTCCATTCTTTTGGAAAGACCATCCAACCGGCGCGTCACGACACTGTCATTTCGATTTGGTCATCTTTCCCAATGACGAATTCGCCGATAACTATCTGACCAACGATCCGTTGTACTATGCCTTGATTGTCGTCGGGGTCTTTATCGTTACGGCCAGTCTCTTTGTCGTGTACGATTACTGTCAACAATCACAACAATCGCTGTTTATTGAAGAAAAGGCACGGGCCGAAGCCATTGTCACGTCACTCTTTCCCAAACACGTCGGGGAACAACTCATGAAAGAACAACAATTCAATACGACTACCCACAAACTGCTGGGGCGTCGACGATTGGTGGAAGAGTCCATGCGTGTCAGCAGTGGCAACCATAACAATGCCAATAGTCGATGTCTGTCCGACTTTCTCAGTGGAGAAATGAAAGTGCGAGGGAAACGAGTCAAGACCAAGCCGTTGGCGGATCTCTTTCCCAGTGCCACCATTTGTTTTGCCGATATTGTGGGATTCACTGTAAGTTAGCACTCTCCTGATGGGTGTGGCGCCAACTACAGTTACTCACCTTATCATCCGTTGATTGATTGCACTCTGGTCCTAACTTGCTTGCTTGCTTCAGGCTTGGAGTAGTGTCCGAGAACCATTCCAGGTGAGTGGGGTTTGTAGCGTAGCTCACTTGCTTCATGGCCCGATTCGATTCATTCTACCGCTCATTTGCCCCTTGCTCTCTCTTCGAACTTCCGCGTCCTTTATTATTGTCACAGGTGTTCACTTTGCTCGAGACATTGTATCAGGCATTTGACAAAATCAGTAAGAAGAGAAAAATTTTCAAGGTAAGCTGAAACGAAAATTTGCAGCTTTGTCAGGACCAATCCTGGCTCATCTCCTGGAACCTGCTGCATTTAGGTCGAAACTATTGGAGACTGTTACGTTGCCGTCGCCGGTTTGCCCAAGCCAAGGCCTGACCACGGTGAGCCGTTGCTTTCCCTGCTTGAATGTTATGTCTAGAAAGTTTTCCGAAGTTTTCCTCACAAGATTCTTCGTACCGGGTCTTGTCGATATTTAGCCTTGGCCATGGCGAAATTCTCAAGGGATTGCTTGGAGAAGTTCAAAGAGCTGGTCAACATGTTGGAGGTCGAACTTGGTAAGTCTGACGATGATCAGTTTGGGTTGCGTTGTTTCTTCATCCCCCAGACTAACAGCTCGTTTGCCTGGATTGGTACTTTTCCTGTTCAGGTCCGGACACTGCAGATCTAGGTACGTTCAATCGCCATTTATCATGCCAGTGGTCACTGTTTCAGGGACAACTCACGACGAATCAATAATGACTTTCCATCCCTGATCAGGTCTTCGAACTGGTTTGCATTCGGTGAGTGAGCGTGTGCGGCTTTCGTTTCTGTTCTCTTCGCCTTCCCACGCCGTGCTAACCTGATTTCAATCCGTGTTTACCGTCCCAGGGGCCCGTGACTGCCGGTGTTTTGCGTGGAGAACGGGCCAGGTTTCAGGTAAGGGAGAGGGAAAGATTGTAGCTGTCGTGTGTGCTTTTTACCTTCACTGATGAGGACGAGTCGCTTTCTTCCATCACAAGCTCTTTGGAGACACCATGGTAAGAGTGATATGGCAGCAAGAGGAGCCCGGAAAAGGAGCATCGCAAGATCGCTAACTTACCACTTCTGCGCGGTACAGAATACTTGCAGTAGGATTGAATCAACAGGTCGAGGGGGCAGAATCCATTTGTCGCAAGAGTGCGCTGATGAACTTATCAAGTACAAGAAAAAAGACTTGCTCGTTCCGCGAAAAGACAAAGTTTCTGCCAAAGGTAAGGGGTTGAGTTCAGTTGACTTCTTGAATCCTCTCCCCACCTTCTCATATTTCAGTGTTGTGTCTGTGCCAAATAGGAAAGGGCTTGTTGACCACCTACTGGCTGCGGCTGAGCGAAGACGACGACGTCACCGAAGAAGAGTCGGAAGACAGCGGCGACGAGGCTGGAGTTGGTTCTGAGCAAGAGCAGGCAAAGCGTTTGTCGAAAGCAAAGTCTAGGAAGATTGAGTGGAAACGGGCATCCCGAGGGCCAAAGGTTGCTTCGAACAAGGCGTTGTCGACGGATGCAAGAGCAAGCTACGACAAACAGAATCGTTTGATCAACTGGAACACAGAGACGCTGAAACGCTTACTGGAGCGAGTGGTGGCAAGAAGGAATGCACGGGGCGCGGGACCTACTGCTCTCACCATGGCGGAGGAAGAAGCGATCAACAGGAAAGTTCGTTCGGGGAGAATGGTTTTCGACGAAGTGCAAGACATCATTATCCTGCCCGACTATGACCAAGCCAGCGCTGACATATGCGAAAACAACAGCCCAGACGAGTTACCCTTTGACGTTGTGATGCAGATTCGCGAATACGTTACGGCCATTGCCAAGCTCTACCCCTCGAATCCCTGTGAGTACTCGATGTTGCTAGCAGTGCTTCAATGACGTGGCTGAGGAATCTGCTGGAGTCTCACACTCTTCTTCCCTAATGCCTCCAGTCCATGATTTCGATCATGCATCGCACGTCTGCATGAGTGTTGTGAAGATGCTGAGCCGCGTAGTGGCTCCCAAGATGGTAGCAGAGACTGCATTAAGTGGTGAACTCCATAAGCAAATCCACGAGTGAGTCACGAGTTGATCTCTATGCACTTTAAATTCGGTGCTCGTCCCCTAACTGCCTTGCACTTCCCCCCGGCCTTTTCTTTGCAGCCACACCTATGGGTAAGTAAAGAATCGTGGGTAGCAATGCTCGTGCCCCACAGCTGCAGGCTCAAAGACTTACCTTCTTGCGCCAAAAATGTCAGAATCACTTCCGATCCAATCACCCAGGTAAGTGCAGGAAATTGTGTGTCACGCCCACCATTTTGGCAGCATGCTGCTCACACTCACATATCGTCTTTTCCGGTATTCTCCCAGTTTGCTTGTGTTGTGTCGAGCCTCATTCATGACGTCGAGCATCGTAAGTACAGAATCATGGGTTGCAGTGCTCTTGCTCCATGCCTGTAGGTTGGAAGTCTCACCATTTTCACCAAATATTATTACAGCCGGTGTGCCCAACTCACAGCTTGTCAAGGAACAAGTTGAAATTGCAGTCAAATACAAGAACATTAGCGTTGCCGAACAGAACAGCGTCGAAGTCTCATGGAATATTCTGATGGAACCCCGCTTTGACAAGCTTCGTGCATCAATCTACACTACGGAAACCGAGATGATCCGATTTCGGCAGCTGGTCGTGAACGTACGTTTTTGTCCAGCTTACTATGTGATAGAGCCGATGCGTATTGGTCGTCGATTGTGGCGCTGACGATTTTCGCATTCTTGCTCTGTCGGTCGAAGTCTGTGATGGCAACAGATATTGTCGACAAGCAGCTCAAAGCACTCCGCAACTCGCGATGGGAGCGCGCATTTCAACAGGGTTCCGTTGACGGGGAAGTGGACACGGACGACGACGTTGAGGCCATCAATCGAAAGGCTACGATTGTGGTGAGTTTCTTTGAGTGGGTCTTTCCTGGTTCGGCTGACAGATAGCTTTTCTCATCTTGTCTTAATTGTTCACGCCTCCTCAGATCGAGCATTTGATTCAAGCATCGGACGTGTCGCACACAGTAAGTCTGACAAAAGGACTTGATCACACTTGGTCCACAGCCGAGAAGCAGTTGGGACTCATTGACTTCTTCTGATTGTTACTTTCAGATGCAACACTGGCATGTTTTTCGAAAGGTACGACCATCTGATTTGATTCAGTTCGTTGCTGTCGATACTGAGACTGTGACTCAGATCTTTGGTTTTGTCATTGCCAGTGGAATGAACGGCTGTTTCGCGAAATGTACACTGCCTACCAAGCAGGTAGAGCGGAGAAGGATCCATCGGAGTTCTGGTGAGTGGCTTGCTTGATTCCGTGAGGACCCCTTGACATCATCACGCTTTTGCTGAACCAACCTATCTGCCCTGTTCTCCCGTTTTGAATCTTCAGGTACAAAGGGGAGATCGGCTTCTTTGACTTTTATATCATACCCCTAGCTAAGAAACTAAAAGAATGCGGAGTCTTTGGGGTTTCGAGCGACGAGTATTTGAACTACGCTCAAAGCAACAGGAGAGGTAAGTGCTGCAGAGGTGCTGTGCTACCTTTAACTCTGCGGAAATACAAAACCAGTAAATGGACTTACCAAACTGCATGCTTCTGTCTCTAGAATGGGAACAGAAAGGCGAAGAGATTGTCAAGGAGTATCTTGCAGCCTTTCACAAAGAAAATGGGAAAATGGGGCGACGCCTCAGTCGTCATATGAGCAGCAACCGACTGCTTTCGGCGACTTCAGATGCACCTGAAAACACCAGCTTCCGAGAGTCCATGCAGCCAAACGCCAAGAAGAGTAGTTTTCGGGCAGTCGAAAACAAATCGAGCCTCCGACAGCTGAACGGTCGCAGTCAGCAGGCATTGGAAGACCGAAATAGCTTGCGACAGGTGAACAATGACAACGCCGTGAATGGCAGTCAGAAGGTTGTGGATCACACCAGGGCTTCACAGACCAAGCTCAATACCAACAACGACAGCAGCCGGAAGGAATCGACCGAGAGAACATCATCCAGTCAGGCCAAGGTCGCCGCTAGCAACGTCAACAGTCCCAATGTCGTGACAGAGAACACACCATCCAGGCAGGCCAATGGCAGTGCTACGGACAGCAGGCGCGAGATGCTTTTTGATGCTCTGACCCCCAGTGAGAGGGATGCTGGATTCACAGGAGTTGTAAACCTGTAGAAAGTAGAGAAACTATACCAGTAGAAACTCATGTTCGTAGATCAACGTGTTATGGGGTGTTCTGATGGAACCCAACATATGACAAGGTTTGTACATCAATCTACACTACAGAAACTGAGATGATCCGATTTCGACAGTTGGCGGTGGAAGCAACTTTTTACTGTGTTGTGGGGCCGATGCGTATTGGTCATCCGTTGCGGCGCTGACGATTTTCGCATTCTTCCACTTTGTTGGTTAAAGTCTGTTGCAGCAACAGATATTGTCGACAAGCAGCTCAAAGCGCTCAGCAATTGCGATGGGAGCGCATGTTTCGCACGATGCCCAGCTTCAGGCAGCACCCGAAGCAAAGATACAATCCTCAACAACCACAACCCGACCATTAAACTAAAACGAACTAGCTTTAGCTAGAAAGCCCCAGCATCAGCCAGCTCCAAGTCACCAGTAGCCATGACATCATAGACACACTGGTCCTTCAAGTCTCCCCAATGTTCGCAGGCCTTCTCAGCAGCAGTGTGAGCAATTGATTCACCAAGTCGGCGACGACCAACCTCTGCACCACTGGGCATAATACACTGAACAGGATGCTGCGGGTATCGGTTCTTGGCCTGGAAGAGCTTGGGCTCTGCCTCCAGAACTTGCCATTCATTCCCAAAGGCATCAGAATCTAACACTACTGTTCCATTGCGGGCCAGCCATTTTCCAGATCCAAACTCTCCCAAAAGACCCCGGCTACCTCCATACTCCTCAACGCTGGCTCCCACCGTTTTGACACTGACAAGATCCTTGAAAGATTGGATCACAATCTGCTTGGCCTCCCCAAGCTCAACTACAAACACATCCTGCTTGGAGCCAACCTTCTCATGGGTGACAGCGTACTTGTCAATCATGTCCAGCTCAGCATTGGATATGCCATTCAACATGTATCCACCATAAGCACCAACCTCTAGAATGTCCTCACCAATCTGGATGGCTGCTGACTCAATGTAGGAATACTGATATCTTGCCTTGGTACGAATGTGGATCTCTAATCCGGTTTCCTGGTCAAACTTTGGGTTACTAATGAAGACCAAATCACATTCGCCATGAAAGTCAAACCATTTGCCAGCCCATGTCTTGAAGTGAGGATCACCAGTGCCAGCCCCATCACTATTATCATCACAAGGTGTGAGAATCACAGCCCATTCATGAAGTGTTGCACTGTCACCACTACCAACATCTGTGACTGTGAGTGTCCAGTCGCCTTGTGAAGAATGTCCATCAAACGAGGATAGAGTCCCCTCTGGCTGTACCGAAATGCCAGGGTCGGTACAGGCAGCACTGACTACCGGTCCAGAACTATCAATGGCAACGCTGCTGTCATCATCAAACACAACATGAAGGTCGTCGACAAGACAATCATCATCAGCGAGGACTACCTGCACTGGAGAATCACCTTCCACAACAAGGGAGACGTCAATGACAAGTTCCTCCACGCCATACGTATGTGAAATGTCCACTTCAATGTTTACATCACAAATGGTAAAATCATCCTGGACTGTGATGCCAACACTTTCGGCCCCTTCCTCAGGGAAGACATGGTTGATTTCACCGGACTCGTATCGAATAGCTTTAGCGTGAGCCAGGATGCCAACAAGGCAAATTACCAACAAGTAGATCTTGGAGGAGAACATGGTGCTGTTGTTGCAACAGATACTTCTGGGGATCAGAGAGAATCCAAGAGAGGATTCCGACGAGGGAGAGAGATAGAGTTTCCGAGAGCTGAGAGAGGATCAACGAAAAGTGAGATGAGCTTGCTGGAAGCGGCAAAGCCATGCCATTTGCCTACCAGGGCATGAATAGCGCTGACTGGCGGCTTCATCTCGATCGCAACTAAAAACATAGATAGCGCCTTTCTTGATAACGCAGAAAAGAGGGATCCACGATCCACAGAGATCCCGTGGACCGATTGTCATCATGTTGTAATGTCATCGTGGATGAGCAGTTTCCATTCCCAAAAGCAAGTTTTGGAAGCGTTCACTCTATTTTGTAGTTTTCAAACATTCGTTCGTTTTAAAAAGTCAAATTTACCAACCAAAAGCAAAAAGCAGAATTTTTGCGCAATTGGAATCGAACATCATCCACCTCCCCCAACCCGCCAAGCTAGCAAGATCCTTTCTTTGATGATTCGACCTATACGGTACCACACCCCGAGAGAAATGTTTCCTGTAACCACCCATCATCATCCACACGAGACGACTGGTGCCATGGAGACGGACACTGTGGCCACTGCGGCAGCTGTCTTGGCTCAACTGGAGCCGAGACGGGCAGCCCTCTTCCAGCAGCAGTATCACCATCCGCCACCAACTCCCCCAACGGTGGCTGTCAATGCTGCCATTGCTACTACTCCCATTACGACTACCAAAGTGCGGGCCACTCGCCAAACTCAAACGAAAAAGCGTCGTCTGGAGGAAGAAGAAGATGACTTGGAGCAGAACGAAGACGGTGAAACTGACAAGGCTTCTAAACACAACACCAAAAAGAAGACCCGCAAGAAACGAACGGCCAAGAGGACACTGCCTCCCCACTTGGAATCGCTGTATCAACAACTGACGAACAATGGACGGTGCATGGATTCAATCCAGAAAGAACAACAAGAAGCGGCTCGACTCGTGGCAGAAGCACAGCGACGACTCGATGCGGCGAATCGGCAAGCGGAGCACTTGACTCGAAAAAAGGAAATTTTGGAGGAACAAATACTGACACGAGAGCTTTCGCTCGACAATAATAATGAATTCACGCAACACTATCATCAACTGGTGGCTTTTCAGCAAGAGTTTGGACATGTCAATGTGGCACTGGAACGCCCACATGGGGCTTTGAATGCGTGGGTCAAACGAATGAGGCGCATCAAGGCATTGCGTCAGGCGGGGGACAAATACCAAGCACCTCAGTGGAAGTACTATCTACGAGCTCTGGATCGCATTGGATTTGTGTGGGATGTCGTCAAGGTTAGTTGTGTAGCTAGAATTGAATTGAATTGAATTGCGTGTCTGATGTATCCTGCCTTCTGTATGTGCTATCTGACACTGTCATCCCCCATTTTGATACAGGATCAATGGAAGATACAATTTGATAAGATGCTAGCCTTCAAGCAGGAAAATGGTCATTGTTGTATACCCAAAGGTAGGGAGCTTATGTTGACGCATAGTAATGATTCTATCAGGTATGCCACTCTCATGCGGCTCTTGTGATGTGACGGACTTGAAGCCTACAAGAAAGACAAGGCATTGGGAGGTAAGCTACTTTTGTTTAATTTGCCCTGAGCTTTGGCTATCTCTGCATTGTTGCTGATCCTCATTGGTGGACACAAATACAAAAAGCATGGGTCCACAGGCAACGCTATCATTACAAACTCTACCATGAAGGCAAACCGACACAATTGACACCGGAACGAATCCAACTGCTCAAATCGGTGGGATTCTCCTGGGGTGGCGATGCCAAGAGTCCCGTCGATGTCACGGCTCCACCTCGTCCCACCAAACCGCGAAATGGCCAACACAAACGGACTCCCGAACAAGAATGGGAACACCATTTCCAACTCTTGCTGGAATTCCAAAAACAGCACGGACACGTTAAAATCAGTGCCGTCCAAGTCAGCCATCGCAACAATCAACTCCGAGATTGGGCGGCATGGCAACGACGGGAATACAAGAAATGGAAACGACAAGAGCCCAGTCATGTCACGTCGGAACATGTCCGACGACTGCAAGAGATTGGCTTTTCTTGGGAAGTGTGGCCCAATAAGACTCAACAACAACAGCAACAAGGCTGACAGCCCTCGCGCCCAAAACGAACTTGCTGTCTGTAGCCAGAATCGAATCGAATAGAATAGAACAGAATCGAGCTGTGATGTGGACGTTACTTTGCCATTACACCATTGATTTTATCGACAACTTCTAAAGGTACCGAAAGAGCTGCACAAGCGAAACACGACGGGTGTCAACGTTGTCACTTCTTTGGTGGGGTTTTTGTGTTGATGGTTGTGGGGCTCATGCCTGCCGTTCGGTATGCTGCAGGAGTGGCACCGACTCTTCGCACACTGCACTATTGGTTCTGACCAAATGTCAATATTGATGCACCCTGCCCAGTGCGGTACCGGTAGCCCTTCGTCGCTCGTAGCATTGGGCAAATCACCCTAGCTAGTAGTATTTTGACCATCCAAGACCGCATGTTTTGGTGCATCGCCAGAGAAAGCAGATTTCGTCTGTAATGCAAGATCACCACAGGCTTTTCCTATTGTACCGTAGATACGGTAGATACGACATCATCATCTATGCCTGGTTGATATACTCCAATTCTGACTGGGCATCCAGAAAACTTCGTGTGTCCACCACACTGACCGAACACCGGCTACAACACATCATGCTCCTTGTGGAGGGCATTCTTGGCGACGGCGATACAATTTGGTCATCGTCATTCTCGTTGGCAATGACTCGGGAAGAGGAATTGGTGCCACTACGATGATTGTTGTTGCTGCCATTGCCGTTGTCATCGTGAAAGCAGTCAATGCACAGCAGTGGATTGTTGGTGTAGACGGATGACGACGATTTGTTGCTGGCGCACTGTTTTTTCTTTTTGTTTCGCGACGGTCGCGTGTAAATGAGGAATTGCCAAAATCCCTGGAGGGGAAAAAAGATGGTCATGCAGACAAACACGGGATACGCGGTAATATCCCAAATTTGCAATATTCGTGCAATGGTCCCAAAGAGAAACGTCAAATAAAAGGCTCCACAATACATCAATGCTTGGTAGAGTACAGTTCGACTGAGATGATTATTGTTTCTGGGTGTTGGTGGTGGACGAGTGGGAGTGTCATCCCGGGTTCTGAGAGCTCCCGAGGAAGGATGTCTTTTCAAGTAGAGCTGTGGGTCTGTGTTGGAATGGTTGTCATCTTGTTCCTCTATTCTGTCGTGGCCTCGGTCTCGGTTGCTGTCGTCATCATCGTTGCTGTCGTCATCATTCTCGTTGTGGTGGTTGTTGTGGTGGTTGTCAACAGGGATCCTTTGTAATCTCCTCGGGGGTAGAAGACGCCGACAGAAGTACCCTATTTTTGATGCTACGGATGGTTCCACAGTGTCCCCTGCAGTTGTCGAAGTGGTTTGTTGTAAATGAGTAGTAGCACCCTGTAGATAGGAGGATCCTCGAAAGCGTATTGTTTTTCGTTCGGTCTGCCAGACTCGCTGGTAGATCATGGCCATGGAAATGGCCAAAACGCCAAAGACAATCCAGACAATGACATAGGAGAATACCATTCTATACAAATCGGCATGGATGCCTCGTGTACACTCCACATCACTGTCCTCCTTGTTACATCCGGGTGGATAGGCAGCAATCCAACAGACCCAATCGGCAGAATTGTAGAGTTCCAAACCCAATCCGGCAAGGGCCGTAGTGACGCCCATGGCAAAGGGAATGACAAAGAACCAATGGCGGTGTCGTTGCACCTGTTCTTCTCTCCACCCGTATCGAATCACCAGCAAGTAATAAATGGAAAGACTTCCAGTAAATAGCGGTGTCGTCAAGGAGGCAAATTGATCCAATGTCCCTTGTGCATTGCATGTGGCTTGATTGCCCACGGCAAAGACGGCATCCCCTCGAGGGATTGGCCAGGTACTCAGCACGTACATGCTCGATCCTAGTACGTCGGAACAGCTCATGGCCATTAAGATTTGATGATAGACAAATCCACGCCGTTCTCGGGATCGCAGCACGTGTTGGACAATGTACAGAGACCCACAGAGGGACAAGAATCCACTGAATTTCGGCAGTAATGCCAATGCCTTGTCTTGACTCGTCCAGGTTGGTATTGTTGCCATCGTGGTGTGTCTGTGGATCGATCAATACGAGGTCAATTATATCTGGTCTCCAAACCCAAGGTCAATTGTTGGTGTGGTAGCTAGCGTTGGCCACCGTGGCTGCATGAGCATGGTTGCCACTTGCTTGATGGCCGTTTGCTGGAGATCTGTTAGCCGAAGCAAGCTTGAACAGATTCATCATTCGGTGTTGTAGAAAGGAAAAGAACTCGAGTGTCGATTGGGACCATTGATTGAACACCGGCACTCTAAGCAATAACGACAACCTTCCCCTTCTAATACTGCCCTAATGCTCACTCTGCAAGTCGGTACCGCACCTTATCTACCTAAGAACCCGAAATGCCATTCTCCCAGCAGCAGCCAAAAAGTCGCAAGGCAGAAGATGGTGGTACGGGTGAGGTCGGTACCGGTACGGTCCGAATTTGAGTGCGTGCCACAGCTGCCGTACATTCAGCGCGGTCAGATTAGACTATGGAAGACTCGTCACTCGTTTCCAATGGACCAGAAATGGCTGTATTAATAGTGGTGCGGTTGAAGTGAAGTCAAACAACAAGGGTGACGGCGGTTTTCAACAATGCAGCCGGGCCCCAACATGAACACTCTAGCTAGATAGCCCTCGTTAGCAAATATCTTGACCATCCAAGGCCGCCTGTTTCCGTACGTCCACAGAGAAAGCAGATTTCGTCTGTAATGCACGATTACCACAGGCTTTTTGTACCATACCGCTAGATCCATAGCCCTGGCTGTATATTGATATCTATGCCTGGTTTATATACTCCAGTTCGGACTGGGCATCCAGAAAACTTCGCGTGTCCACTCCACTGGACGAACACCGGCTACAACACATCCTGCTTTTCGTGGAGGGCATTTTCAGCGACGATGATACAATTTGGTCGTTGTTGTCATCGGCGATGGTCCGGCAGTAGGAATTGGTACCACTACGCTGTTGATTGCTGTTGCTGTTGTTGCTGTCATCATGAAAGCAGTTAATGCACAGCAATGGATTGTTGGTGTAGACGGACGAAGACGACGATTTGTTGCTGGCCTGATTTTTCTTTTTGTTTCGTGACGGTCGAGTGTAAATGAGGAATTGCCAAAATCCTTGGAGTGGAAAAAAGATGGTCATGCACACAAAGACGGGATAGGCGGTCATATCCCAAAGTGCAATGGTTCCAAAGAGAAAGGTCAAATAAAAGGCTCCACAATACATCAGTGCTTGGTAGAGCACAGTTCGACTGAGATAATTGCTGTTTCTGGGTGGTGTTTCATCCGGGGTTCTGAGAGCTCCCGAGGAAGGTCGTCTTGTCAAATTGGACTGTGGGTCAGTGCTGGAATTGTTGTCATCTCCTTGTTCCTCCATTGAGCCGTGGCCTTGGTCTCGACTGCTGTCGTTATCATCATTCTCATTGTGGATGTTGTCTTTGCCGTGGTTGTCAACAGGGATCCTTTGTAATCGCCTCGGGGGTAAAAGATGCTGACAGAATGACCTTATTTTGGATGATAGCGATGGTTCCACAGTGCCCCCAGTAGCAGTTGCAGAAGTGGATTGTAGATAGGAAAGTCCTCGAAAGCGTATTGTTTTTCGTTCGGTTTGCCAGACTCGTTGGTAAATCATGCCCATAGATACGGCCAAAACGACAAAGACAATCCAGACAATGATATAGGAGAATACCATTCTGTACAAATCTGCTTGGACTCCTCGCGTACATTCCACTGGACTGTCCTCTTTGTTACATCCGGGCGGATAGGCAGCAATCCAACAGACCCAATCAGCCGAATTGTACAGTTCCAAACCCAATCCAGCAATGGCCGTAGTGACGCCCATGACAAAGGGAATGACAAAGAACCAATGGCGGTGTTTTTGCATCTGTTCTTCTCTCCACCCGTACCGAATCACCAGCAGGTAGTAAATGGAAAGACTTCCGGTATACAATGGTGTTGTCAAGGAGGCAAATTGACCCAATGTCCCTTGGGCATTGCACGTTGCCTGATTGCCAACGGCAAAGACTGCATCACCTCGAGGAATTGGCCAGGTGCTCAGCATGTACATGCTCGATCCTAGCACGTCAGAACAACTCATGGCCATTAAGATCTGATGATAGACAAATCCACGCCGTTCTCGGGATCGTAGCACGTGTTGGACAATGTACAGAGATCCACACAGGGAGAGGAAACCACTGAATTTCGGGAGTAATGCCAATGCCTTGTCTTGACTTGTCCAGGTTGGTATTGTTGCCATTGTGGTGTGTCTCATTGATCGATACAATTAGTTAGTAGTACAAGTTTTCTGGTCCCCACACCCGAGCTCAATTGCTGCCTTGGCGAGCCACCATGGCTGCTCGCTTGCGGTTTTATGCTTGATGGAACATCTTTCTTTTCTACTGGTCAAAGCAAGCTTGTTTCGGTTTGGAAAGCACCCGTGCGTGTGTCCATTGTCGACGGGACAATTGGTTATTGGTTGAAAACCGGCACTCCAAGCAATAATGGCATTCTACCTCTTCGCCTCTTCAATGCTCACTCTTCGATGTTCGGACTTTTCTTTGAAAGGGCCCGGGACAAGGGCAATTGTGCACCGGTACCGCACCTGGCGGGGGGCACACAGTGCGAAAGCCACGATCAACTCAACCGAAAGGGAAAAGGAGGGTTCAAGACAAGACGACGGCCAACTGCCAACAGTTTCATGTAGCTGTTTACAGTTTTAACTTAAGTTAATTGACTATCATACTAGCGAGCTAGGGCGAAAGAAGAAAACTACTAGGCATGTTGCATATTTTACGGTAGATTCCATCACACTAGCTAGTGCCTCGTGTCTGGGAGCCATTTTTGGAGATAGCTCCATTTGGCACCACCTCTAATATAGACATCTGACTGCTCTAATAGTGAGTCTAGGCACTGCGTTTGACCAAAAGAGCTTT